GTTTAGGGCTTCAGGTTCAGGCTGTAGGGTTTACTGACTGAATGACTGACCACTCGAATGCATCAAGACGTGCGTGAACAAATGAGTCGCATCAGCGGACTCCGAGGGAACCTGCTCTCAACCAAAACCTCAGTGGGCTAACCCTAAACCCTAAGTGCTACAGTTGTTCATCGTTGATTGGAGTTCCTCTAAAGGTTCGATAAGGGTAGGGCATCAAGGTAAACCCTAAACCCTAAACCCTTAAACCCTTAAACCCTAATCCCTTCACCCTAAACTCTAAACCCTAAACTGTGATTTTGGGTTTAATGCTGGGGGCAGACACGTGGAAAGATGTGCGGAGGACTCGCAGCTCTGAAGGTCGCGGGTAACGGCACAACAACCGGAATACGGGTTTAGGGCTTTAGGGGTTTAGGGGTCTAGGGGCTTGGGGTTTGGGGGTTAGGGTTCCGGGGTTTAGGGTTTAGGGTTTGAACAAGTGGTGCTGAATCTCTGATGACCGAAGTAAAGCTTGCTCGCACATGGGGTCTAGGGTTTATGGGTTAGGGCCCTGAGGGCGACTTCCACAATTTCACCGAGGGCTCAGGGTTTGGGGTTTGGGGCTTTGGGTTTCGGATTTACATATCCGGAATCAGTGACAGACCCCATAGCCTAGCAACACGACACAGCAAAGGCTTCTGAATCGTAGTATGGGGGGTTGAGTTGTATACTGATGAATAATTATATTCAAGTACCTTAAGGAAAAATATTGGTAATCTTCAGGCCCGTATTTTAAGCCGTCAAAACCCTCAAACCCTCAACCCTGAACCCCTCCCCAAGCCCACTAAATCCCCAGACCACCAGAATCCTAAACCCCCAAAGCCCAAAACCCCAAAGCCCTAAAGCCTAAACTCCCAAAACCCTAAGGCCCTATAAGCCCTAAACTCCAAACCCGCAAAACCCGAAACCCCTAAACTCCCAAAACCCTAAACCCCAAACCCCCCAAAGCCCTAAACCCCCCAAACCCAAAACCC